CCTACTTTATTTAGACGATAAACCTAGTTTTTGATTGAGATCATGAGCCGATTGATGTTAGACCACCTTTGGATACCTGGAAGCACTGGGCGGCCGTTTCGTCCTACTGTGGAACCCCTCAGCAGTAAGCAACCATGATCCCGCCCGAGGGATTCGAACCAAGGGCCTTCGGTCTCGCGCGCAAACGCTTAACCTCAATCAAAGCTCAATAATCTCCACACACCCTATACCAGAAATCTAGTTTTATTCTTATTAATAATAGGCAAGTGAAATGGACAAGAAGATGACTAAGATTTAAAGGCAATTAACAGCATTAAGTGCTTACGGTTCATTTAAACTGCGAAGTCTAAAACCAGAATAGACGCCAAAAAACTAAAAGGATAAAAATTTTTTCTATGTTTAGTTGTATGTAAGTAAAATAAAACTTATATTACGAGGAATCCTTATGAAAGCATATAGTAAAGTTTCAGGCTTGCCACCTTCCATCAACAGGATATCTTTACAAATTTTAACGAAACAATTGTATCCAAGAGATCGATTCAGTACCGCCAAACGATGCAGAAAATAATTATCACTAATCTGCTTTCACTATGAATTATGCCATGCTGTAGCATTGGTTGTCAAAACTGATATATATATATATATATATATATATATATATATATATATATATATATATATATATATATATATATATATATATATATATATATATATATATAGCAAAATATTTTCCATACAAACGCATACACAATGCTACATGAGGATCACCGGATTACACCACACAGAACCGGATCGATCGTATTCGCATCACCAAAATATTCAGGTCAATAGAAGAGGTGAAAACCAGGAGAGAAACTGATATAGCTTCAAATCACCACCTAGTTGTAGCCAAGATTAAACTAAAGCTAAAGAAGCATTGGAAAACTGGGGAAACAGCATTATGAAGGTTCAATACAGCCCTCCTTTGAGATACTAAAAACTCAACGAATTCAAGATAACTCTCAACAAAAGGTTGCAAGCTTTACAGGATCTACTGAAAAAAGAAGAAACTACTATGGAGGACAACTAGGAAAAGATCAAAGGAGCACAAACTTCAACGTGTCAAGAGGTTTTGGGTCTGAAGAAGCATCATCATAAGGAATGGATCTCCATTCAAGCCCTGTGTAAGATTCAAGCAAGCGAAATAACGGAGATGGCTATTAAAAACAGTTGAACAGGAACAGAGAAAGTAGAGACACGGACTGAATACGCTGAAGCAAACAAACAAGTGGAGAAGAACATTAGAACTGGAAAGCTGAAATACGTGGAAGGCCTGGCAACGATAGTGGAAAATCCTCAAGAAAAAGAAATATGAGACGACTATGTGACACAGCAAAGAAACTGGCAGGGAAATATAGTAAACCAGAGAGACCGGTCAAGGACAAAGAAAGCAAGCCAATCACTGAGATTTAAGAACGGTGGAACAGGTGGGTAGAGGACTTTGAGGAACTCCTGAATAGGCCAGTTCCAACAAATCCACCAGACACTGAAGCAGTGCACACAGATCTCCCTATATCTGTCACTCCATCAACGATCAAAGAAATAAGGATAGTCATCAGACAAATCAAGAGTGGGGAAGTAGCAGGACCTGAACATATGCCAGTTGAAGCACTGAAGCTAAACATAGAAGTAACTTCAAGTGTACTCCACGTCCTATTCAGAAAGATATAGGAAGAAGAACAAGTCTCGACAGACTGAAAATATGGATTTCTTATCAAGATACCAAACAAAGCAGATCTCAGAAAGTGAGAGAACAACAGTGGCATCATACTACCATCAGTGCCGGGAAATGTTTTCAACAGAGTACTGTTGGACCAGATGGAATATTCAGTAAACTTCGGACTTCGAGACCAACAGGTCGGATTCCGTAAAGATCGGTGATGTACACACCGAGATGCGATGGATAGGATAACATTGTGGAAACTTCTTCCACACTATGGAGTACATGAGAAGACCGTCAACATTATCTGGAATTCATACGACAGACTACACTGCAAAGTGGTGCATGGAAGACGCATTACAAGTGAGGACCGGAGTCAGACAAGTCTCCCTATTCTCCTCATTTCTCTTTATCCTTGTGGTTTACTGAATTATGAAGACCTCCACACCTGACGGGAAGCACGGAATACAATGACATGTTAGATGGAACTAGACGATTTAGACTTTGCAGACGACCTGGCTCTTTTATCCCATACACAAAAACAAATGTAGTTCAAGTTACACAGTGTAACAACAGCAGTCTCTGAATCAATAGGCCTCAACATATACAATTTAGAAAGCACAATCCTGAGGTACGACATAGAGAACACCAAACCATTCACACTTGATGGAGAAACTCTGGAAGGGGTGGAAACGTTCCTGCATCTAAGTAGCATCAGCGATTAATGTGGAGGATCTGATGAAGATGTGAATGCAAGGATTGGAGAAGTAAGGATAGAATTCCTACAGTCGACGAACACATGGAACTCAAAACAACTGTCAACCAATGTCAAAATCACAATCTTCAATAAGAAAGTCGAGACGGTTCTACTGTATGAAGGCGAAACATGAAGAACTACCACAACCATTATCAAAACAGTACAAGTATTTATAAAAAATTGTCTACTCAGGATACTGAATGTTCGTTGGTCAGTTACCATCAGCAGCGGCCTAGTGTGGAAGAGAACAAACCAGGTTTCAATTGAGAAGGAAATCCGGAAAATACGTTGGAGTTAGTGGATAAGACATAAATTGAAGAAATCATCAGATTGGATCACAGCGCAAGCTCTAACTTGGAATCGTGTAGGGAAACGGGAAAGAGAAAGGCCGAAGAACACACTGAGATGAGAATTAGAAGCAGACATGAAAAGGATGAATGGAAACTGGAAACGATTGCCCAGGACAGAGTTCTTTGGAAAGCGGTGGTAGGCAGTCCATGTTCCCCCACGAAGTGTAACAGGCGGAAATAAGATATATATAAAACTTTTTTACTAAGAATGAGGAAAACCAAGCTGTTTAACAATCATTTTACAAAGGTTCTTTATAGTTTCGTTAAGATTAAATCTATAATTTGAAGATCGCTTCCGCTGAGTGGTGACAGCCAGAGAAACATTAGAAAACAAGAAAAGTTGAACAAACAGATAGTTCGATTCATTTTAAGGCATTTGAATGATGTAAACTGAGGATCCCACATATCCAGCTTATGTCGTCTCATGCGATCATTCATTATGTTTCATTTCTAACATAATTCTCCGAATTAATATGAATCAGTGTTAAGAACTAGTTTCAAATTGAACTAATGTCCACAAGCCATCCAGCACAATTATATTCAGAACTCGTGGATTAAGAACTTTTCGCTGATAAGGTTGAGCGTATAGTAACTGATAAAGATAACAAGTAGTCTGATGGGATAGTGAATATGTGTCAACTAAGATGGTTGGGTCATGTATAACGTATGCTCAACCATCACTTACCTCCAAAAGTGATGTTTTCTAGGGTAGGAGTGGATTGGAAGAAATCTGGGGGCACTTGGATCAAGATTTAACATTAGTTCATAAAATCACTGACTGCTGGATTGAGTCTTGTTGTTAGGTACAGAATTCCTAATTTTCGTCTTCACAATTAATATAACTAATGATTGAAGAAAATGATACGGTTGACAATCGGTCGCGAAAGAGCAGGTGCACTCATCTTTTGTCTTTTCTTAGATTTTGGGTTTTAAAACTGTTATATACTTTAAACTCAACTAGTTGGTTCTGTCTTCTAGAATTATATTGTCTGTGTTTAATGTTTTCCACTACTACTAATGCAGTTACTAGCAGTAAAACTAGTACTCTGACACCCTCTTGATATTATCATCTAACTATGCTGACATAGCAACCTGAAAAGTTGCTTAAAATTGACTGACTGACGACCTAGTACATACATATGATCGAAATGCTAAAATAAATACAATTGCTAGTGTAAACAAGTCATTATGACTAACTGAGTGTGATTGAATATTACACTTTTAATTGGGAAATTTTTATAAAATGGTATGGATGACGTCACTACAATCTTCAAGTAACCAACAAAACATTCTACAATAATTTCTATCTCAATTTTCATTGTTATAAGGGAAAGCCTCATTTTGTACACTTGATATAGAGGTGTTCGTTCATCAATTTGTCCAAAATCAGTAAGATAACATCAAACTGACAATGTTATTTTTCCTACCAGTGACAATGTGATAGATTTGAAAATGAAACAAGAAAAACTATTATGACAAATTAATGTTTAGTACTTTAAATAATCAAAGTTTCCAAGAAATATTCAAATTAGATATAACTTTCTAATATGTGTGATAATGATTGTAAAGTTATTACTCTAGTTACAAATATATTAATACATTGTATTGAGTTCAGACTTAATTGAACATGTTGTTGCCAAGTCATTTTGACTAATGATAATAGGAAATTAATTCTGCCGGTTACGAGCCATATAGAATCTAAAATCGGTACTCTGATTTCTAACTTGAAACTTAATTGACTTAATTAATTAAATCATTAAAAATTAATTATGATCACAAAATGTGCATTGAATATTTACTAACAAAGAAAGTGAAATTAATTAATGAAATTTTGTTCCTATAATAATGCTGTTAAGCTTTGTAGGAATACTAGCAAATCTTTCAGTTTTTTCGTAGCATACAAGAAGTAATAATAATTATTATATTTATGTATCTCTCTTTTGTAATAGGTGCCTCAATGGTATCATATACACATTCAGCTAAATATTGAAATTAGAAAAAATATAACACTCATTTGCTCAATTTAGAAAAAATTTTTATCGCAATAATTGTTATTCCATTGTTGATGTTCACCAATAGAAAGCTACCTTTGCAAAGGATTTAAAGAGTATACCACTGAGTATAGAAACCTATTAGAAAATGTTTTTTTTTCTCTCATAGTATTGAATTTTTTTCTAGACAGGATACTTGATTATGATTCAATTCGATTTGACCTATTTCCAAATTCTGTTCTGCTTAAACACGTTTCAGATTGTTGTTCACTTAAATAATTTGTTGATGTTTGTATATTGGATCGTTTTGAATATTTACAGCAACATTGATTAATGGTTTGAATAAGATAGATATGTAATGGGCGTACAATAAATATAAGTGTACTTGGATTAATGCAACTATTCAGTGTTACAAGCCATAAACCAATTAAATGAGTTGTACAATCAATTTGATAAAGTATCCATTGATGTATACCAAGAAAGTAATAAATTCTGTCATATGAATGCGTTATTAAAAATATTGTTTGCATAATACATGTAGCTATTGTTAAAGACTGAGCAATTTTACGATGTCTTTTTTGTTTAGCATAGGATACAGTTAATTTATGACTTGATATTTTACGTGTCCAACTATTGTTGGTACTACTATTAATACTGATAGCATTACTAAAACTATTATCATTATTATAATTATATTGATGGCGAAATGTTGTACTTTTCAACACTCCTATAACTTTTCCATACACACTGACAGTTAAAACACATGGAAATAAATAAGTAAGACATGGCCACAGTATAGAATCCACTTTCATTAATATATATATCCAGTTTTTATCATATAATATGGTATCATAACATTTTTGATCACGATATTGTAATAATAATGGATTGATAGCGATTAATATTAATGAGTAAATTGAAATACTTGTATATGATAATATTATGTAAATATTTTGACGTAATTGATATGTACGACTACATACAACAGCTCCTAAACGATCTAAAGCTGTACACATCATATTACTTAAACTTAATAATACAAACAACCAAAATAATGTGTGACTAAACCACAAGTAACATAGTATACTATCAATAATTATATAACCTGTATACCAACGTTCAGATTTTAATATTTTTAATAAAGCAAATGTACAAATAAGACAATCAAATACACATTGATTACATAATAGTAATGTTGTTAAACGTGATCCTAACTTCACATTAAGTAATCCATGTAATACAAATAAATTTAATGGTATCCCAATTAATTGAATAATAATTGCAAAAAATTTTATATTGACAAATAAAATCATTTTAAATGATAAATTTGTAGAATTGATTGTATGTAAATGACTACAACTTTTGTTTAAAGTATCCATTTTTAATTTGATAATGTCATTTATTTTATCTTTGATGATAATACTATTTCCATTGATCTTTTGATAAAGAAAGTAATACAATTAAAAGAAAAATATGCATGATTCTTAACATTTTAAACAAATATTTTCAATTAGTTATTTGTGTACAAATTTCATACTTTTTATTATTGTAAACATGAGTTCAGTAGAATTTATTTAAAGAAAATAAACAGTGAAACTTATTTGATAATTTATAACATTAGAAAAATATCGCTATTTTTCATTGGTTAACTAATTTCATATTGTCGTTAGTTTTAAAATCGTATTGGTTTAAAATAATGGCAAACTTTATTTATGGTTAACCAAAAGGTGGTAAATAGAATATTAGAAAAGTTTCAGAACACGATAAGAGGAATAATGTTAGTGTAAATGAACTCTAATATAGTTCAATATTTTAGTGATAAACAAATATTGTCAGAATGGGTTTTGTGGAGATTTTTAGAAATTTCACAGGTTGAAATCATGAGTCAATTGAAGTTAGACCACCATGGAAAACCTGGAAGCACTGGACGGCCGTTTCGTCCTAGTATGGGACTTCTCAGCAATGCGCATCCACGATCCCGTACACCGCGGCATTCAGGAGATACTTCTGGAGTTTTAGTGAGAAGCCGTTACGAGTGGAGTTCAATCAGGTCTGTTGTGAGATATCAGCTCACTGAAGACAATGGTGTACGGTGGCGCAACTTCGTGGATTGTTTGAAGTTAGACATTAACACCGTTGGATGCCGGCTCAGTGGTCTAGTGGTTAAGCACTCGCGCGCGAAACCGGTAGGTTCTGAGTCCGAAACCGGCGGGGTACGGGATCGTGGGTGCGCACTGCTGAGGAGTCCCATACTAGGACGAAACGGCCATCCAGTGCTTCCAGGTTTTCCATGGTGGTCTAACTTCAATTGACTCATGATTTCAACCTGTGAAACAATTATTGGTATTTATTATTATTAAAAAAATGACAATTATTTTTAAAACTGATTTCTATCCACCAGTAGTGTTTAAGTTGGAATGAGTAAATTATATTCATACAAGTAAAAAAAAGTTTATGATTACTCATTTTGCAACTAGTTTTCATCACAAAATGTTATCAGCTAGAGAATTATTGAAACTTAGTGGATATTAAACAACCATTTTACTTTAATATGAGACAACTAATTAGTGCACATATATTTTACACACAATCTAGGTTACAGCCTTTACATCCTTGAAAGAGAACGATGTGTTGAAACCATTTAGTTAGGATCCAAAATTTTATATTTCCAACTTTATACGTGTGTAAACATCAAGTAACATTTGATTTATAACATTGATTTAAGCCTTTATTTATTCTTATCACAACTAGTACACCTGTTATCACACTACCAATTTATACTTTTCACTTATTTATGTAATCTATTCCACTGTCATTATTGACTAATAAACTGTCTTCATTGGTTTAATAATTTCGTATATGCATATAAATATTACTGTATATTAGAGTAAAGCCTGATGAGGATCTAATCGAAAACATTAAGTAAATGTTTAACTTTAGTGTGAATGGTAAGTTGATTGAAAAGAAAAATGACTCGTTGATAATGATATCAAGTCAGCATTTCTATTTAACATATCGTACCATGAATTATTTGTACATATTTTTTTAAGGTAGAGAAATAAATTACAAATATAAGCAAAACGCTGATGTAAAAAGTTAACATCTACTTATTAAACGAGGAAACACAAGCTGTTTTCATTTTCTCGGCTTTTAGTGCAGTAATAGTATTCGCTGTAATTATAATAATATACCACTTACTACCTTTTCAAGTATCTCCAATTACATAAATTTTTCTAGAGAAGTCCATCATATATGCGATAAGAATTAACGGCCTTAGTACAGAAAATATTCTTTGCAAAATAGAAACACAAACTCGCCCTCACCACATAACAAAAGTAGTGATAACTATCAATAACCTTTAGTGTATATGTCTTTCTATTTGCAAGTGACTTACCTTAGACGGCATAAATAGTAACTTTCTTAGTGTAACGATAAATAAAATGCTAAAAAGATCGGTTACAACGAGCACTACTACTTCAAACAATCCTCAAGTTTTTAAGCTTTCCAATTCTAAAATAACATTTCTGTTGGGAATAGCACTAGCGATGAAGAACTCTACCTTCTATATTCCATAAGGTAGCGGCTTGTTCGTTAGTGCCTAGATTTCAAATAATCGTTAGTAGATACGAACTTCATGTTACTCGCTTTCGGTAGTAATATATTGCCAGTGCCCCTCACGTAAAGCGTGGCTGAGGACAAAGTACATAAACCTTTATTTGTCTAATGAGTCCCATTACGCTATGATTTTTGAAGCAAGCATTCTTGCCATTATTAATGTGAATCATTACATATGTGAGTTTATTTCTTAACCTGTTCTGAAGTGCTTAAACTTTTAGTGAATTTATCTGAACACTTTACCTCCAATCAAAAGTAACACCCATTCTTTTTTTCGTAAACAAGTCATCAGATGCTACAAGATGTTATGTTTCCGTGTTCCATATTTTACATGTGATAATATTCCTTTAACAAACCTGATGATACTCCCACGTTATTTTGACTTGATTTGGAACTCTATAAAAGTCCTTACTACAGATCCTTTGTTGGGATAGAACACAATACTTCTCTCTTGTGATAATCATATTAACTTTTGGGTTAAATACTGTAACCTGCCACTTATCAAATTCAGTTAACTTATTACATAGTCACCGTCTTTCAACCTGATTAATATATATGTATTCTTACAGTCATCTCACAATCTGTAGATTTCCATTAGAAATTTACAATAAGTATTTTGGAGAGACGGTAGATAGACAGTAAACTAATTTCCAAATTAACTTATAAGTGACCATAGAATTCGACCGTTTACTCAATAAACAAACAAGACATCAGTGCTTCAATAACCATAAAATACAATACTGCAGTTGAATTAAAATGAGAATAAAATTATTGAAAAAGTTTTTGAGTAAATCGCCGTATCATTTTTGCTATTCAAGCTTACTGATGTATCAGTTTCCAAACAGCAAGGTGAATCGATTACAAATTAAAGAAGAAAGTTTTAGCAAGTGGTATGACGTACTATTGATATGAATTAAAAACAAATTGTGGTACATTCATAAACTGGAATGTGACAAATCAAATACTTGATATAAATTATGTAATCTCGTTGCTCAACTTCACGCCGTTTGTTCTACGATTTAAAATATGAAGTGATATATTGTAAACCATTGATCGTATTTGAAAAAATAGTGTCATAACACCTAAAATCACCCCGATTCGTTGTTATGTACGAAAAACAACAGTGACTAGCATTCATTCAATAGAACAACTGTTGTACTCATTTGTTTCCCGATTGATGAAATATGTTGATACTATTATTAACTAGTTAGTATTATCTGTAACCAAGTCAACACGCCATAAGTGTATGCTGAATTCAATATTACTTTGTCAAATGACCCTGTCTCTGAAGTGATCACTACTAAAATGTACATAAATAAACCCTTCATTTAAACACATAATAGCTGCTCACTAAAAGTACTGAAATAATCGTCCAACCTCAACTTTAGCCTGAGGATACTCATTATGTGTCGCTACCGACTATATCATTGCACCATCGTTAGCAATTTCCTATGGAAATGAAGTACTTCACACAAGAATTACAAAAAGGTATAATTAGTTGGATTTACATTGCAATGACTGCCCGTCGAAGACGACTACTAAATATTCCCTTACTGCTCTAACTTAACATATTAGAGGGGTATGAATGGATCATTAAACGCAAACCTGTTGACCTCTCACTGCATAGACTATCGAGCAACTGTTAGTACCTTTATTTGAAACACTGCTTGTTGCCGAAATTTACCAAGTAGCGTTAGAGTTTTACCTAATTTCTTTTGACGAACTCCAAAGTTCTGTAACTGCAGAATAAAAATATTTTGACAATTAACTTGAATCCGATGTATCTTTTCGCAACCGTTTTGGGAAAATATTATGACCACAGCGACACCTTTATAACCATATTGTGAAATAAGGTACTTGATGTTAGATACAGCTGTTGTTTTTATCTTACTAAATAATTATAACTGTCAGATTTCGCAATTTCTCCAGTGGGGTTTTTGTTGATGGGTATTTAATCACATGATCATGCTTGACACAGAAAAATGTAAGCGGGTATCCGTCAAGATAAGTGGCAATAATGAAGACTTCCTTTTAGATGAAACCGGTGCCTCTTCTACCTATAGTTAATACCCCGAAAAGACTGCGTTTTTACTACCTCTGTCAGAAACATCCTACATCCTGAATTCGGAGTTGTTCTTTTAAACACTGAGGGGATAGAAGGAAATATAATTGACTGTTATACTCTAAGCACAAAAACAGTGATGACGGTTAAGAAAGTAACTTTTAGAGCTCATAATTGCTTATTTTTTAAATGGTCTATAATTACTTAAACTTATCAAGTTTGCAAATGAACTACAGTTAGAAACGTTCGACTATCTAGAGCTAACAAACACAGTTGTTCATTTTAGCTGTTCTATAGTATTTAACCTAATTCTTTATTCATCTGCATTAAAACCACATACTTTAGATTGTTCGCTTTAACATTTGGAACTTTATAGATCTGAAAATGTACGGATTTCTGAAATAACAAAAATCCGAATCCAACATTAGTGCAGTAAATAAAAATATACCTAATATTATCTCTGTTCACTGAACCTTTGACTTCAGAACCGACTCTTAGTAGTATCAGTATTATGCTAAACGTTATGACTACATATTTTCTGTTCGACTGTACTCTCGGAAACTATGTATTTTATAACTAAGTAAATAATTCTACATGCTTTCCACTGTGCCAACTTTTATTACTCCAACAGGAGTTTAGCACCTGAAGTACTAGATTAAAATTTCCAACGTTTATTAGTCATTTCGTGGTATCACAGTACGA